ACTCTCAGCCAAAAAGCAGATGAGACCACCACGTATATGAGGAACCATGGGGAATTTAGGGTAAAGGTTTGCCATTCAGTTTTTCTGTTCCAAGCAGTTGTAGTTGTAGTTTATTCAATTTGTATGCCGCCCTATTCTTGAGGGACTCAGGGCGGCTAACAACCAAGGGGGAAAGGGGATACAAATAGGAAAATAAAAACAAACAAATTAAAACGACAAACAAATTAAAATACACAACAGTCGCAACATTCAAGTGGGGCTGGAATTTCATCAGCCCCAGGCCTGCCGGAACAACCAGATCTTCGTGGCTTTGAGGAAAGCTGAAAGGGTGGTGAGGGTCCGGATCTCAATGGGGAGATTGTTCCAGAGGGCCGGAGCAGCCACAGAAAAGACCCTTCCCCGGGGAGTTGCCAGCCAATACTGGCTGGCAGATGGAATTCGGAGGAGGCCTAGTCTGTGGGATCTGATAGGTCGTAGGGAGGTAATTGGCAGGAGGCGATCTCTCAAGTACCCAGGTCTAATACCATGTAGGGCTTTAAAAGTAACGACTAGCATCTTGAAGCGAGTCCGGAGCCCAATGGGCAGCGAGTGCAGCTTGCGGAGGATAGGTGTAACGTGGGTGTACCGAGGTGCACCCACTATCGCCTGCGCGGCTGCATTCTGGACAAGCTGAAGTCTCCGAATACTCTTCAAGGGTAGAGTGAAAAAAGTTAACAACCAACCCGACTGTTAAACAATCTTTTCTGTGCCTTCCAAGTCTTCTCATCAGTTACTATGTTCCACGTCTGTTGTCCATGCCGGGTTTTCGTTCTCACTGTAGCCACTTTGTTCAAGTTATTCACGCTGTCAATTACAACTCAGTGACTGCTTTTCAGCAAAAATCTGAACTGCAAAAACAGTCTCCTTCCCAGAGCCTCTTTCTTTCCAGCTCACTCTCTCCACCAATTTCGTGTTGTCCTCCTCTTCTTTGGGTTGTCAATAATAGTAACAGATGTCTCAATTTCAACTGCTTTCTCTCTCTGCTTTCTTCTTATGTGGTCGCCATCGCTCCGGTCCTGACAAAAGTGGCAAGATAGATCCTCGTCCGTTTAGTGGGTTTCTCCTACCCGCTGGGGGATTTGCCTTATCACCCCAGCATCTTCAGAGTTTCCCTCTTAATCTGCTGGTCCCTTCAGGATCCACAGCACTCAGAAATGAGCCCAAATGAAGAAGTTAGAGTTAGAGGTTAGGAGAACTCCCGTTCCTCAGCCCCAAGCACGATGACATCACCACAGGAAGTCCGATGGCTCAACTTTTATTTCTAGTTTTAAAAGATCACATGGAAATTGATGTCAAAGGATATTTCCTGGGACTATCAAAGTTTAGTCCTTTTTGAAGTAGATAGGTCTTGGAGAAGGTTTGGCTTGGTGTAAGGAAACATCTTATTTTCTAGTCTAGTCTAAAAGATTAATACCACATCTGTTTTACAACAGAGAGCCAATGTATAATTGCTTTCATTCTGTTGAAGTGCTTTACGGGTTATATGGAGTCTCTCTGAGGCCACTGTAAATAAACTGTTCCAAGTTGAGAACTACCTGCAATTTATTTGGAATTTATTAGATAATTTTATTTCCTTAATAATTAGCGGCCTTTCTTTTTCTTATTCTGATTTTCCTGAAGTAGTATATCTAGCAGATCTTTATACTGTATTCATACAACAAAATAGAAGTTAATGGGTGGACAAACGTTGTTTTTTCCATTGTAGATTTATATGGTTTGAGGCAGTGATGGGTTATAGGCGGTACACCCTGGTACGGGCATACTGGAGCCTGTCCAGAGCACCGGGTACTGTTCCAGTATGGTGCTCTGGAGGGCCCACCCACCCGCCCTCCTTACCTGTCTTTAAAGTCTTTGGTGCTTACGTGCACGCCCATGGCGCATACAGTGCCTGTGTGACGCTCTGCTGAGCAGCTGGAGCATCGCGGTGGCTTACGGAGGTATCACTGGATGGTAAGATGCATGCAAGCACTATGCACATGTGCTGCACGCTTTCATGTGGAGGACACCGGGCCCCGTTGCAACCATATTGGTTGCAACGGGATCCAGAACCCACCACCGGTTTGAGGCCACACCAGAACTTTTTGAATCATTTCAATCAATACATTTAGAATTGTTGATTTTGCAAATATATAGACATAAACTTAGCACTAAGATGTACACAAAACAATTCAAATATTTTAGAAGCAATTAGAAATTATCAGCCTTGATCTCAGTTTTTGCAATAAAAAGACTGCATGAAAAAAACTTCTAGATCTTCTTCTTCCTAGTGTTATTCCCACTTCTAGATAAACTTATAATTAAATTAAAAGGAAAATAAGGGGAAGAGAGTTTTGAGTAGTCTTATTTCTATCATTAGTGTGAAAAGTCATCATAACAGAGCAAAATTACCAGTAACAATGTGGACATAGAGTTAGTATTTTATAATTTGGATTTGAAATATCTGTTTCAATCCCTAAATGTCAAGAAAACACAGATACTTTCTCGATCAAAGCAGTGCTGTGTGTGGAAACAATTCTAAAATATTTTCCATTAGTAATATACATAAAACACCTTCCTATTCTTCATTTCACAAATAAAATAAAGGCATGTGAATTCCAAAGTGCTCATATAATACCCAGTTGACTCCAATTTCAATAGTGGATTTCATTGGAAATGGAAATGTCACCTATCTATTTGATTTGAATTTTACACATGCTTGTATTTAGGCAAAATTCTTAGGTATCTATCAGTTCTTTTGTCAGTTTCATTCATCCCTTTGACAAAAATAAAATAAAGAAAATGTTTATCAGGGGCAGTAGTTAAAAGTCTTACTTTTTATCACTCAAAATATTCAAAAAATAACAACAATAATAATTGTTAATAGCTATGAAAGGATATATGTGATAGTTAAAAAAACTAAGTGTCTATTTATGAGAGAAAAAGAGAGAGAAAAAATGGTGGAAACTGATAACAAAAGAGAGGAAAAACTATATATTTGTAAGCAGTCTTAGTTCTTAAAAATATGGAATGTTTCTGCTATCATTTCATTCCCATTGTACCTGAATCTGGATGCCAAGGGTCTGTTGCCGAAGACATTGGTTGGATGGTTTGTGGATTTGCTCCGCAATTGGATTCTACAAGTTCTCCTTCTGTGTAAATGTGAGAGGAGATATTGGTCTGTCTCAAGGCTGCCTTGAGTGGAGTAATCTGGTTGAACTGTACACGTGACAAGCAACCCGAAAATCCTGGTGTGTTATATTTATGGATGTCTTGATCAATCTTTCCGAGTTCTAAGGAAAAAACAAACAAAAGAAATGAGTTTATAAAAATTTGTCTAGCACAAAAGCTTCACTGATACGACCATAGGATCTTGCAAAGATAATGTTTGTGAATGCAATCAAAACACTTTTTATCTCTTGGAATTTACCTTACTATAAGCCTAAGAATGAATCATTCTACAAACTCATTTTTTTTTTCCTTTTAGATAACCTACCTTCCATTTTTTTTCTTTTTGAAAATAGCATATATACATTAAATGCAGAAAGATTTATCTTCTATAAAACAAGATCAATGCAAAATATAAAAATAATTGTTAAAAACATGAAAACAGATAAAAGGAACTTTAAATATTATACTTTACATAGTAATCAATTGGCACTATCACTGTCTTCAAATTTGTTGAACTTTATATAAATGACCATTCCCCAATTTCTTCATATATAAAAAATGCAATTTTCCTCTATGTTTATAGTATTTATTCTTCAAGAAAAAAAGCTGCAATTTTTTCAAAACCAAAATTTTGCTTCATTTTTTAAAAATTTGTTGAATTTAGATACTTACAAAGGTTAATTTCACTCTTAAAGCAAATCAGTTGATGTGACTGCTTTTGCTACAATTATCATGCATAGTAGTCAGATTTAAAATATGCAACAAACTATACTGTCCAGCTTATTTAGGATCCTCAGGCATCATTATGAAGCAACAATTCCAATTTTCATGATTGGGAAAAGTAGAGAGAGTATATACATGACAATTAGAAAACTGTCTATAACACAGACTTCTAAAGTTGGTGTCTTTTTCTCATTTCTATCCAGTGAGGAATATGATAATGGAATTTTCTCATCAAGCACATAGAGAGAAGAAAAACAATCCATCAGAATAAATTCATTCTTAATTAAAACAAAACTGTAATCCAAAAGTTCTTCTTCATAGTTGAATTAAAATACTACGCATCAGTTACTGAGCCAACAGAAATCTAACAGCACAACATTCAATATAGTGATGTCTATTCTGTTTATGCCCTAATCTGTTTAACTTAACCCTGGTAAGATTCTGTCCAACTGAATCAGACTGATAAGAGTGTGATGTTAAGGGTTCCAACCTATCATTAATGTGTTAAGAAAAAGCTCCTGAAGAGAAGATGGTTCTCATTTTCATGGCCTTGAAGAAGCTGGTAAACATCTTGATCTTGGGGACTGTTTGTGGAGCCACTTGTGCTAATATTTGTTCTTCATTATTATGTAAAATCAAAGAAACCTTTTGCTATGGCTTTTGCCAGAAAGCATAATAATAAAGTACATAGGTTGTAATTATAAAAAAAAAGTGTTAAAACATGGAATAAAATTAAATATGTTGTTATAGTAACTATAGTAGAAATAACAGTGACAATGAGCAAAAGTTGTGCTATATCTCAAACATAGGAGGTATACAACAAATAATAGGACAAAACGAGGCAACCCAGAAAAATATCTTAGGTTTCTGGTCAGATAGAAACAGTGACATATAGCAAAGCAAAAGGACTTAGACTTATATACCATTTCACAGTGCTTTGCAGTCTCTCTAAGTGGTTTACAGATATTGCTTCCAACAATCTGAGTCCTCATTTTACCAACCTCAAAAGGATGGAAGGCTGAATCAACCTTGAGCCACTCAGAATTGAACTCCTGGAGTGAGCAGTGAGTTAGCCTGCAATGCTCCATTCTAACTAATGTGCCACCACGGATCAGATAGGCATGGTGCTCCCTACCAGGTAGTTCTTCATTATTGTATCATTATTACATTTCCAACCTTGCATTTTGCCTAAAATTTTAAGATGGGGAGAAGAATGTGCCATTTTGTGATTGAAGTTTGCATGCATAGTGAGCGATATTTTTTATTGCCTCTAATTGCAGTCTTTCAGGGAAGGATGTCAAAATACCACAAAACAGTGCTAGTATTCTGTCATCCCATTTCTTTTATCTCTTCCTTACAGGAGCAGAAAAGTTAAACTTTAAAGAAACTTAACATTTCATGCTCAGAAAATATAGCCCTTCCTTTGCCACTACTTGTTCTCTTGTATCTATTACCCACCAGCGCACCCATTTCCCCCTCTGGATTTGAGCCTTGTTTATAATTTCCTAGAATTTGCTTCTGTTATTGCAGTTTTTCATTTTAACCTGGAATATGTCTATGATATATGTCATTTTCATATGATCTGTCTTTCCTTCCCGAAAACAGAAGGGAAAAATCTACATTTCTCTCCCCACCCCACCTGTTTAAAATCTATTTTATCTTAAAAGCTACTGCTGCTGCTCTCTAATTTGCTTTTGTTAAATAAGATGATGCTATGTCATTTTCATTACAGTTATCCTTCTAAATATTGAGAGATACATACATTGACCTTCCTTAAACAAAAACCGACCCAGAAGAAAGTTATTCTTCCCTCAGATTTCATCCAAATTGAGCAAGGGCTAAACATGTTATTAGTGGTTTTCCATGTAAAATTACTAGCCAAATGGAAAGAAAACAAATATCAGCATCTCTAGTTATCTGTTACTGAACATGCTTCATCTTCTCATTAAGAGAATATGTTAGGCCAGATAAAAAAATACAACATATTTTATTTTGCAGAACATTCTATATCAAAGTGTATACTAGGATACTAAATCAAAACTTAAAATTTCAAAATAATTCCTGAATAATTTTAAAATAAATTCCAGCTTTTATGAATTACTTAATCAAATTTTTAATTAAATATATCATGCAGTGTCTAATAAATGTGTAATTAATAAGGTTGGTATGTAATAAAATTTAGTTTTCATGAGGGCATAAGGATTACAGTATACAACTTTCTGTACTTTCATACAACTAGTTAGAAGACTAAAATTGTAGGATAATTCATGTCAGTTACATTAATGATCTAATTCTGGGATTTCTGGGATCATGAATTACCTTCTCGCTGTTAAAATAATTCATCATGATTATGTTGCTTAAATTATCAGGTATTACAAGGAGGGTGGTAGCTTAATCAGCTTAGAAACTTTTGAAGGAAAAATACTTTCAATTGCTTTTATTTGCCCTAGGTACATTGTATGATTCAGAAATTTCTTAAGTACATGTGTGCAGTAAATCTAGATGTTAATGATGATTATAGCCATAAAACTGTCTCTGATGTTTCAGTTTTTAAACCAATTAGAAACTGGAATATATACATTTGCATTCACAGTTATCTTTTAGTTCTTTGGTAGCAGATTAAACTAGAGAGCTCCACAATGAAGCTTGTTGTGACTCTTCAATGAAATAGATAGAATTCTTTATTGACCAAGTGTGATTGGACACACAAGGAATTTGTCTTTCGTGCATAAGCTTCCAGTGTACATAAAAGAAAAGAAATGTGCAGAACTCCACTATGGCTACAATCATAATCAGGGAGTGAAAAGAAATGTGAGAAAAATGTGTCCAGTGCCATCTGTGGAATAGTAAATAAATGTATTTGGAGAATAATGTACAAGATGTTACCAATGATTGGCTCTGAGTGGTACAAGCTCAACTACTGCTGTAAGCAAGAATTTTTTGTTACCCCCCACCCCCCAAGCTCTTACATTATTGGTTGCAATTTGACAGTGGCAAATGCTAATATTCAAAGCAAAACACTTCAAAGAATGAAATGCCTGGTTTTTGTTCCACCATATTTGTCTGCCATGGTCATTCTGTAACATCATATTTCATATTATAATAAAGGGAACATGTATGAAATGTTTATCTTCTCTAGAAGACATAGGTAGATTTTTAGATCTCCAGCATAATTGAAAATCCTATTACAAGAGATTACCTTACTGATAGAGGCCTCATAGAGTTGAGGCCTATGAGGACAAAGCAGGAAAAGAATACAGTAGGCGTGGGATAATTTGAGTTTGTAACAGTAGTGAACCAAGCTCTATGAATCCAATTGTTTCAGAACAATATTGTCAACAATTGCTGACCATTGGAAAACTAAAAAGCAGAGGGAAGATTCATTGCCATGTTCTTTTGTTTTTTCAAGAACTCAGCAATTTAGCTTTCCTGCTTCTAATAGGGAAACTCCATCCAGTATGTCACTACCTAATCTGTTTTAAGACCATTGAAGTAGTAACCCTAATAACATTTTATAGCATTAACTTTGACATTGAATTGAAGTTTAGGTAGCGCACAGTGGATGTATATACTGTAAAAATGGTTACAGCATAAGACTATTGGCTTTTATCAGTACTGAGGTCTGTGTTTCTGGTTTTTCACATGGTATTTTTCTAAAAAGCCTGACATGTAATTGGGGACTTTTAACATGTATTTCCTGAGAAAATGTATAATGGGATATCTTAGCTAGTTATTTTCTTACGAGACTATTTTAGTCTATTTCTCTTGATCTTCTGGGTTAAGGTTGGGTCGAATATTTTAATTTTTTGTTGGAATGCCAATCCAAAAAAAAGCACTTGAAAGGAGTTAATTTCTGATAACTGAAGCAAAACTAATATACATATTAATGAGATTATCACCTCATTGCATATTCTTATAGTGTAAAAACCTTACAGGTGGGAGAGAATCTGTGGCAGCTGTATTCCTTTTGTTCCTGTGAGCATCACCTGAACAAATCTTTCATCTTCTGAGCAAATTAGGATGATGTTCTACATTATGCATGCCAAGGATTTAATAAATAACAAGTTAGCCAAGGTATATATGATCCAATTTTATTTAAACCAACCAGATCTCAGCTGATTTACTTCTATGAAAGCTCATACAACAATTCATACAACAGTCTCCAAGGCTCAGAGAGCCTGTGATTTAGCAGAATCACATTGCATCTTTTTGGTATTTTATTCCTATGTTTTGTTAAAACAAATTCTAGCTGCAAGGGGCAATTTGGGGAAGAGCATAAACAAATTTTTGTTGTTGTTGTTGCTAAAAATGAAATAACGTAAAAGAGCTTTGCACACAAAACAGAGTATATAAGAAAGCATGCCTCTTCTAACTAAATGCAGGGACAGCAGCAATTATA